CGCGTGAGAAGAGGGAAAAGGGAACGCGTTTCAAAAAGGGGCGTGTCACTTTGCAACCTGCGGCGCGTCCACGTTTTATTGAATAGACCATTTATCTTAGCAAGTATATGTTTTTTAAATACATTTTTCCAGCGACGTCTTCTACATAATCGTCTACGATGGTGTTGACGGTCCGTTGAACCACGCATTCTATGGAGACAGAAATGAATATATCACAGTTTTTAAGCCTGGAAAAATGAATGTAGTAGTTTTCCGAAGTCATTTTTGGAGAAGTTCCCCACAAAGTGCATATAACAAAATGAAAGAAAGCGTTGAAGAGAGCTGTAAAAAGGGTTTAAAGTTGTAAGTGGACATCTGGATAAACAGATACACAAAAACGTGTTTTTGAGATGTATTTTTCGATATTTTCAGGAGCCTGGAGCTTGGTTGTCAAGTTTCCGATCGCTTAAAAAATTTTGGAGGGTGCAAAACAGATCTAGGTTAATAACTTTTCATTCACCGAATTTTTTGAAAATATCTAGTTTTTCAGATATTGACCGATTTCTGAAGGTAACCTGTTTTTCAGGTAAATAGGGGTGTCTTTCATAAATCGGCAAATATTTAACAAAAAAGAGGAATTTTCAAAACAATCTGTGAATGCAAAGTTTTCAATGTAATCAAAGATCTATTTCACATCCTCCAAAAGTTTCAAATTGATTGGACACTTGACAGGCAAACTTTCGGCTTTTGAAAATGGTCAAAATAAACTGAAAAATACGTTTTTGTATACCGTAACCACTCTAATAGAAACCGTCTATTTCGAGCTCATATATCTCGGTTACTGTAACAGAAATCAAAACACTATCAATTGATGAAATGTTTATCATAATATCAAAAATATTTTGTCAATTGATCACTTTTTTATAACTTTCACATGAACCGAGATATTTGAGCTCCAAGCGGTTTGAGTGGACTTCTATTAGAGTGTTCACGGTATCTTACTGAACGGTATTTTATACTGTTAAGTTTTCAGAAAATCCAACTACTCGGATGTTCCAAAAGAACTTATGACCAAATTCAAAGACACAAATTTTATTGGATTAATTGGAAAAGAGTTTGAAGTGTCTGTAAGATCCGCAAATAGTTTTGGAAGGATATGGGGACCTGGATATTGGGATACGGTAGCTGTTTTGGATAGTGAAGGGAATAAGACTGGAAAGGAATTTATATTGGTTGCAGGCTATATTTAATTGTGATTCTTATCATTTTTTCATACTTCTCCTTTACACTATAACGCTACCTGTTGTTCCCCCTCCCCCTCTCTCTTCCTTCCTCCCCTCTCCCGCCCCAACAATGTCAACGCATTGTCGCCCCTTCTCTTTCGGCCTGCTTAGTATAGTGGTTAGTACTCCACGTTGTGGCCGTGGCGACGCTGGTTCGATTCCAGCAGCAGGCATTTCTTTTTTGTTTCTTTTTTATTGATGTAAACGATGAGAAAATCAAGTCTTTATTGTGGAAATCAGATTATTTTGATGATAATTTGTAAAAAGAATGGGAATTTGAAGCTAAAACTTCACAAATCTCTTGACTTGTTTCAAATCGGACAGGGCAATTGTAGAATCTAGATTCGCAGTAAGAGGAAGTGTTGAAACTTGAAACAACGGATGTGGAGCTGTCAGTTTTTGATAGGTTACCTGAAAATTTTACAGTTTCAGATATTTGCAAATAATTTTTCAAGAAAATCAAGTATTGTTGCAACTACGTTTGTTCGTTTAACTCATTGAATTTGAGCTCAATTATCTCGGTTCCTATAAGAGGTATAAAAAATCTTTCAACTGATGAAATGCTTATCATAACATGAAAACATTTTATCAGTTGACATATTTTGATATTTTTCATAGGAATCAAGATAATTGCTCTCATTTACAGTACCTTTAATTTCTCATTTACACAAAGCACGGCAGCTGCATTATTCGCAGTTCCAGCATAGTTGGCCACCGAAAATACCTCAATCAGAAGTCTTCCAGTCATCACTTCAAACCCATCAGGGACCACCATGTGAGAGCGAATAATCAAAGAGATGTTAAGACGTTTGCATTCTTCGTCGACTACTCGTTTACCGAAGAGATAGCTGATTCCTGTGAGGTAGAACGTAATTGTCATTAATCAAATTTTTACTGTTTTGTCGTTTTTATAAATTATTCTAACATTCATTTTTTTAGTTAGTATGAGAACTTTAGAATCTCAAAACTTTCCGAATTTCAAAATCCCCAAAATATGAGAATTACGGAGTTCTTCGGAATGTTTCAATCTTAGAATCATTCAGAATCTCTCAAAGATTTCTAATCGTCCCAGTTGGGAAATGGTCGATTACGAAATGTCATAGTTGCTAAATGTCATAGTTTCGAAATTTCATAGTTGCGAAATGTCCATCATTGTATTGGTTTACCATAAATATTTTGGCTCTTTATGACAAGGGGGGCCCATGAGAAAAGGGGGGGGGGGCCATGAGAAAAGTAGGTCTATGAATGAAAATCAAAAATCGGTAAATTTGTTTTATGGTTCACTAGTCAGTTTGAAAATGGCTGAGGTAACAATAATTTTTTCTTTTCTTAATGTTGACCTAACCTTTTGATATTTGGGTCGGTTTGTTTAAGACCATTTTCCTCGTTTTTTTAAGACCATTTTCCTCGTTTTGAGAGAAATCAAAAAGTTGTCAACTGACAAATTATGGCTGGAACTATGATAGATATTGTGTTAGCTTAGCACTTTTTGATATCTCTTACAGGAACCGAGATAAATGGAGTTAAAATTAAAATGTCTTGTTATTGCAGGTTCTAGGGTTTTTTCGAAAATTGAAATTTTTTTATTTCGCCAATTGAATTGCAATGTATCTAATAAACTCTTTCTGAATGAAAATGTCAAGAGCCACACCAAAAAAAATCTTGTTTCAAAATTCCCATATTTATCCCATCCTTTTTCATTGGTATTTCTAAACGAATTATTTTGATACCTCTATAAGACTGAAACCATCCATCACCCCAACTTGTCGGATCCGCCCACAATAAATCCATTTCCAAACCACTGAAAATCGGTTCAGAAGGTCTTTGAATATCCCGAATTTTCTGGAGACTTGTGAGTTCTGGAGAGTCCTCCATGAACACAAAACACTTTCTGGGACACCAGCCAAAGGAAGTCGATTGAAACAACATTGGAAGTCCCACCAGATGCCTGGTCCATATTTCGGATCACATTCGGTATAGAAACCGTACATCTGGGAAAATAATCGATTTTTTTTGGATTTTCAAGAAACTTGTATTTTTGAAGATTTGTGGATTTCAGAAATTTCGAGTTTTGAAAATTTTGAATTTTAAAGGAGGCGAGACAATAAAAATTTCGAGGGACAGTTCGGGAGACGAAATCGCGCCGCGCTTATGTAGACCATCGGTCGACAGGCGCCTTCGCGCCCCCGTAGCTCAGCCGGTTGCGGCGCTGTACCCCTGAGCTGCCTGTCATGAGTTCAACCCCTCATGGAGGTTCTCTATGCAAAATATCAGGGAAACTTTTTTTTCTCTGGCCTCCTTTAAGATTTTAGAGAAAATGTTGACATTCCAAGTTTCCGAATTTTCAGTTTTTTTTGATATTCTGAAAGTTTTAGAATTCTCGGTTTTAGAACTCTTGGAATAATTTTCGGATTTCTCCAAATTTTTGGAAAATTTTGAAACTTTTTTTTGTCAGTTAGGATTTTTCAGAGATTTTTGATGTTCAAAATAATTTTTGAATGTTCAAAATATGATGTTCTTTAATTCAAGAATTTCTTGAAGTTTCCCACATTCGGAATTATTTTTTGGATTCTTTTTTAAATAATTCAAGGATATAGGGAATGAGAAATTTCTAAAGATTCTGAAACAGAGAAAGCGAAATTTTAGGGATTATTTATTTTTTGACTATTTCTTATCAATGGAAGCTTTAACGAATTTCTCTACTTTTTAAGAGTATTTATAGAAAGTTAGAAGCCTAAAAATTTGAATTTTTCAAAATATTTTTCTTTGATTGTCAATAGCTGTCACAGTCTTTGCAGCTTCAAAAACATGTCCAAAAATATCTAGAAATTTTGAAACAGTAATTTTAGTTTTGATTTCAAAAATATATACCTTATTAACCGATGGAATCTCATGATTCCCTTTCAGAAGAAAAATGCGATCTTTGTATCGAATTTTCAGACAAAAAAAGCAAAACTAAAACTTCGATTCCATCCATTCCAATATCCACATAATTTCCCAAAAATAATAATTTCTCCTTTAGAACTTTTCCAATCAAGTCGAAAAGTCTTATCAAGTTATCAAAATCTCCATGAAGATCTCCAACGATTTTCAGTGGTGCAGAAATTTCTAGAAGACTACTTCCATGAAAATCGATTCGGTTAGACGGATAATTGAAATAATTTTATCAGGAGAAAAGATTGAGGCGATTGAACTGTCCCAAGAAATTTTGAGATCTGGAATTTTTGAAAAAAAATCACATTTTCAGAATATTCAGAAAAGTGTGATGTTTTTTGTGGCATTAATGGGGTGTTCACCGGCTCATCGAGTTGAGTAATTTTTAAAATGTTCGTTTCACGGCGGATTGGTCAGTTTTGAAAAGGTCAGTTTTGAAAAGGTCCTGTTTTGAAAATTGCTAGTTTGAAAGGATCAATGGTCAGTTCTTAAATGTCTAGTTGCAAGATGATCGGTTGTAAAACGCCTGGTTCTGAAATGACTGGTTCTAGAACGTCCTGGTTGCGAAATGATCAGTTTTCTATTGTTCGTTTGTGAAGTGGCTATTTTTTATATTAGTTCTAGAACGTCCCAGTTGCGAAATGGGTAGTTGCTAAAGTATCAGCGAATTTTCAAAATTGTTATGTTTTTTCACAATTTCTATATTCTGGAAAGTATTATATATTCTGGAAGGAAGTGCATATTCTGCAAATTCCAAATCTTAGAATTCCAAAGCAGTAATTTCCATAAAAAGATTCATGATGTCTAAACTTGAAATTTCAGGAAGAATAAATTAAAAATACAGATTCAAAATTTTCAGATTATGGGAATTTTTTTTTGAAACGTTGATTTTTCACATGTTTTAACGAAACTCACTATAAAGTCTCCGGATACAATAATCCATCCATTCTGCCAATTTTGGGTCCGTTTTTGATAAATCTGGAGATTCTGAATTTTAAAAATTTTCAGATTTTTTCATTTAAAATATATAGCCAAATACCTTTTTCTTTCATGTCAAAATTAACAGTTTTAGGTTTCTTGATCTCAAATTTCAAATTTTTATTTTCGTAGATTTTATGTGGATCCTTTTTAAAAATTAGCCACGAAATTCAGAAAATCAAAATTTTCAGATAAAGCTATTTCCCAAAAATTACAGATTCACATATTCCACAAATCAATTTTTATATGTCCGTTTTTCAATTTTTCCTTTTGCCATTTAACTTTTTTCCAGGAAAATGTTATTTCTAGCATTATCAGTTGTCGTTCCAATCATTCTACTTATTACCATTTGTTCATCAAAAACGCCAACAAAAATTACGGTAGATTTTGAAAATTTGCAACTAAAAAAACTGAAAAAAAGTCGTTTCAGAATACTTCGGCAAAACTAGAAAATTCTGAAAAATCAACGAAGAAACGAGTGAGAAAAGATAAGAAGCCGGGAGATTTAATGTAAGTATTCAGAATTCTCTTTTTTGAAAAAATCGATTATCGATTTTCAGAGAAATCACAGCAACTTCGAAAACTGAAAAAATCGATCCATTGAAATCAGCAGCTCCAGAAAATCATAAAGCGAAATTTGATAAGAAAAAAGAAGAATTCACATTGGACAAAACTGCTGAAATGGTTTCTTTGCACGGGAAGGAAGGTAAGGGATTCTGAAATTCTGAGATCCAGAGTTTCTGAAATTCCAAAATTCTGAAATTCTGAAATTGTCTGCTTCATTTTTGCCATAAATCCGTAAACTTTTCTATCAGTTATTTAAATCGAATCTTGTTTGATAAACTGAAATTTCGAGATTCTGAAAGTATGAAATTCAGGAAAGAAACTTGCCAAACCGGATCCCAAGAAATCCAGCTACGCCGGAATACATGAAAAATCCCAACCGAAACCTCCTCCTCCAAAACTCCCATCAGTCATCACGATTCCAACAATCAGAACTGAAGTAAAAGCTACAGTAGCCTGTCCAGAATCTGTGAAAAACAAGAAACCAGGAAGAGAAATCAATGATAAAAGTGACGATACAATAGATGATATTCCATCGGTTCGGATGAAAGAAGGCGCCAGTTATGAAGGAGATGGACCGCCTATCAAGTCGCCGGACCAAGGAAAAATGGATGAAAAAGCAGTGAAAAAGAATTCAAAGGAGAAAACGGGAGAGGAGAAGATATTATAGTAATTTTAGAACTTTTTTTTTTGGTTTTGAATTGATTGAAGCAGTTTTTCTGAAAATCAGAAGAGGATTGTTCTTATTAACTGAAGACTTGTAGAATAATTATTTTGGAACATTCTGAAACTGAACAAAGTTTTCGAACAGTTCTAAGACTTTAAGATTCTAAGATTCGGAGATTTTAGAATTTTAAAGTTAGCAGATGATTGAACTCCAGAACAGAGCTACGCCCAGGAGGTTTAGCCCCGAATGGCCGTAAACAGACAACAAATGACAGAAACCATTTTGCAACTTTGACCAAACATATCTCGGTTCCTGTAAAAGATATACACAAATTTCAAACGCCAAAATGTTTGTCTTGATATCAGGAACATTTTATCAGTTGACAATTTTTTGGTATCTCAAACAGAAAACGAGCTGATTAGATTTAAAGGAACAATCTTTTAGTGAACGAGTTTCACAGGTTTCAAAGTGAAAATTCAATATTTATTTAAACGTTCTGAAAATTTTTTTTTTTGAAAATATTAAAAATTCCAAAACGAGTACGCGAATTGGACACTATGAAAGAAGAGAAAAACGAAACAATCAGTTCTTATCTTCTCTGGGCTCCAGAGAAAATGTGGCCTGGGGCCTGGGGCCTGGGGCCTGAAGCCATGGCTCCTGGGTTTTTCAACGAAATCAGACAAATCATGCTTTGCGATGGTCTACGAGAAACAGGGACATTTGGAACACTTCAGATGATTCAGGCCGAAAATAAGAAGAAAATTAGTTCGTGATCAGTTGGAACAAATGAAGGCGTTAATTATAAAGGGAATGGACCGCCTATCTAGTGGCCAAACCAAGTAAAAGTGGACGAGAAAGATGAAACTATTGTGATTTCAACTAACCTTTTTTTGGTTTTGAATTGAATAAAACTTTTTATCAATTTTATTGTTGTCACCACCAGGGATGTGCGTAAAATTTTTATTTTACGAATTTCGTAAAACGTAAAATCGTAAAATTCGTAAAATTCGTAAAAAACTGAATCTGAAATGGAAACAAAAACTGCAGTTTTATTATTAAGCAATTGGCAAATGGTCCGCAAATGTTGAAAATCGTAGAACCGAATGCTTCTATGGGGTTTCAACAATTTTCTTATTTTTTTCTTTAAAAAATGCTAAATTGTGAAAAAAAAGGATTCAAATTTGGAAAAAAAATTTTTGAAAATGAAGCAATTCATGCTTTAAAATGAGATGTGAGCATAAAATCAACTCAAAACTAGATCAAGAACATGAAAATGTACCGGAATACTGTCAATTCTGAACAAAAATGGTGAAAAAACACTCATCCAGTTTTTACGAATTTTACGGATTTAGTTTTACGACACTCGTAAAATTTTACGAGTACCAAAAAACCTTAAAATCTGTAAAATTCGTAAAATTCGTAAACGTAAAATCACATCCCTGGTCACCACATCTAACTCACTGAGGACTAGCTGAGTGGATCACTATTTTGAGTCAGCCTGAAACTGGAGATTGTATTTTTTAAAAATTCTAAGAATTTTAGATTTACTAAAGTTAGCCGATCGTGGCGCTTTTTGGGATACCGGGGGGTTAAACTTGGAAACCTATTTCAATATTGAAGATTAAAAAAGGGGATAACTGGTATAAATTTTTTATTTTTAAATGAGTGTTTTAAAACAGAAAAAAGAAAATAATTTTCTCGGGATTATGAAGTATTCTGAAATTCTGATAGATTTCAAGATTCTGAAATTCCGAAATTTCCTGTTTCTTTTGTTTTATAAATTCGCGTTAATTTTTCTATGGATCAGTAAATGAGATATCCGTAATTGCTCAATATCTGTTCAATGAATTTTCAGCCAACAAATTCTGACCGAAAAAAAAGTACTCACGAATTTTGTTTTTTCTGATCTTTGTCTGAAAATCTAGACATAAAAGTCAGATCAATTTTTTTCTGTCCCACGCTTCCTTCCCAGGTACCCAGAAATAATTCATTTCCTTTTGTCAGAAAAAAAACTAATAAGAAAAAAAAAACTTTTTCTGATATTTTTTCTCCCTACCAACTAAAAAAAGACAGAAAATGGAACAAAATCGCCAGAGAATTTACCAGTCCTGGAAATTCACTATCCAATCCGCCTCCTTTTTTTCTTCCCTACTAATTAACTCCCTCTTAATTACCCTAATTATCAAAAAATCCCCGAAAAATATGGGCACTTATCGCCATCTCATGGTTTATTTTTGTTGTTGTTCTATAGTTTTTAGCATTATTGACTTATGTGTTCAGCCGGTAATCAATCAATTATCGATTTTGGAAAAATAAACTTGAAAACACTTTTAGAATATTCAAACCTATAAAAGTGCATATTTCATGTTTGTGGATGTCAAAAAGAGGAATCTAGATCCGTTTGTAGCTCGTATTGGATTGAGTGAGGAAATTCGAAAAATTGAAAACAAATGATTTTTTTGAAATATCGAATTTTTAGATGCATTATGTGGAAGTTTTGGAATTACGATTTCTGGAATTGCAGTTCATTTTGTTTATCGATTTTTCGCTTTGGAGAGGTAGGAATCAGAATTTTTAAAATTCTGAAGGATTCTGGGATACTGAGATTCTGAGATTCTGAGATTCTGAGATTCTGAGATTCTGAGATTCTGAGATTCTGAGATTCTGAGATTCTGAGATTCTGAGATTCTGAGATTCGAGATATTTGAAATTCTGAGATTCTGAGATTCTGAGATTCTGAGACTCTGAGACTCTGAGATTCTGAAAACCTGAGATTCTGAAGGATGCTGAGGTTTTCCGATTCTGAAATTCTGAATTTCTAAAATTCTGAAATTCTGAATTTCTAAAATTCTGAAAATCTATTCTGAAAGATTCTGAAATTTTGAGATCCTGAAGGATGCTGAAGTTTTCCGATTCTAAAACTCTGAAATTCTGAATTTCTAAAACTCTGAAAATCTATTCTGAAGGATTCTGAAATTTTGAGATTCTGAGATTCTGCGATTCATTTTTATTTTGTGATAAATGAAAATTGGAATTTTTTGTTTTCTATTTTTTTTTTGTAAATAGATGTTATTCGAGTTGATTGATTTCGAAATGACTATAACACTAAAATCAGAATTCTGAAACTGGAATTTTTCTATTAAGTTGAAAAATTCAAAATTTCATGTTTCAATTCGGTTATATTAACTTTTCAGTTGGAAAGAATTTGACATGGTTGAGACAAGAAAACTCGGGAAATTACGGATTTTTTTTTCCAAACCAAAGTATCCCAATTTTTCAAACTTTAATTTTTTTTTCAGAAAAGGCCGCCTAAAATATTTCAAGGGCACCTACATGCTAATTTGGTATTCAATTCCAATATTCAGTGGAATAAGCTGGTTTCTAGTGACGTGGAATATGTCTCCCATAAACTCGATGTATACAGACTATATCAGGTTAGTCGAAGTTTTAAATTTCAATACTTTCTTTAAGAGAGATGCGTAAACTATTGAAACAATTAAATAGTGCAACCATTGGAATAATATAGTTGTCGAAAATTCACAATAATCGAGAAACAGTACTTTTTAATGAAAAATTATTTTTGAAATTTGAAATTTTTAATATCAAAACTTTCAAAAATCCCAAAAATGAAGTTTCCGAAATTAAACATTTTTCAGACCAACAATTTTAGAAACTTTTGGGGTTCATGTGGAGGATACTGTTTACGTATGTGGACTTTTTCATCCAATTGACAAAAATGGACAAAAATATTTAAATTACCAAACGATTTATGCATTTTCTATTTATATTATCCTTATGGCTATTCCATTCTCTATAATTTTAATTTTTGGATTCAAAAGTTGGAAAATTGTGACCAATTTATTGGAAAATGGCGAATCGGAATATTCAAGAAACTTACAAATGCAATTGTATAAGGCTTTAGTGGCTCAGGTTGGATAAAAAACTACAGTTTTAAACAGTTAATTACAAATCAAATTATTTTTTCCAGACAATCCTCCCAGTTTCCTTTCTCTTTATCCCATTCGGCCTTATATTCACTCTCCCGATGTTCGAAGTTAATTGCCAGTTAATTGCTTACCTAATTACCCTAATTTTTGCCACGTATCCAGCTTTGGACCCCTTACCAATACTGTACTTTGTAGATTTCTATAGAAATCCGATAATTGGTAATTTTACGATTTTTTTCCAGAAATTGAAAACCTAATGTTTTTCAGAAACTTTCAAGAAATTAAAATGCAAAGGAAGCCAAGTTTCACCGGATGTTGAGCGTTCTGTTATTGTTGAATGAATAACAAATTTCAAATTTGAGAATTCTGATAGTTTTTTATCAAATTTAACTGCTGTTCCTGGATTTTTTCGAAATTTTTTGAACTTTCGAAATATACACTTGGGTTTTTGAATGTTGACAAAAAAGAAGAGTATTATTGGAAAAAAAATTATGAATTTGATTTCACTGTTTCTGAGTGTCCAGTTAAAGATTAAATAAAACGGATATAATCGTTGACCTATCTCATTTTCAGAATTTCAAAAACCTACTGAATTCTTCAAAAGCTCAGAATCTCAGAATTTCGAAACTTCATGAATCTCAAAATCTCACATATACACCAAAAATTGCTTTTTTTTCTGCAAAAAAAATTTCTGTTTTCAAACATTTTTCTAAAAATAAAACATTTTTATCAGTTATTGAGTTATTTTTATGCATCTGTCAATTTCATGACAAGTTTCATTCTTTCAAAATTTTCTTTCAAATATTTCGGACTACTGTATCTTATAGGTCAGCTCTTCCGCGTAGTTCTTGAGTTAAACTCCACAACTGTCAGAGTCTCAAGTCTCCGAACCTGAAATTCATAGAATTCTAAAGGAACATTTTCGGTTTCAGAATGTTCCAAAATCAGTCGATTTCTGCCGCCTGCCGGCGGCTACAATCTCCTGGCTTCACTTAAAACGTTTGAATCTCAAAACCGGGGAGAAATAGAAGATGACGTTTTCTTTTAAACTTGATTGACAGTATACTTACGCCCCCAGTATGCTCCACAGTATACTCCGACCACTCAGAAAGTAAATTCGGATTGTGTTCAATTTTTAAAGACTTAAGTCCAGAAAATTCAATGAATTCAGAAGCTCGTATTTTTCCTTCTTTTTTTTTTGGAAATACAAAAGTTCAGAGATTCGAAAATTCTGAAATACTAACAGCCGGATGTTCGGAAATCAGAAATTTGAATATTTAAGAGCTCTAGAATTCAGAAATTTGAAAAACTCTGAAGCTCCAATTAAAACAATACTTCTCATAAAAGCTATGAAGCTGTGATTCAAAAAAGAATCGAAAAAAATCCTCAAAATATTCAAATTTTCAAACATTAAGATTCAGAAATTCAGAATCCCATAAATTTTGAAAAAAAATATTTATATTTCAAAATTCAGATATTTAGAAATTTAAAATCGGAAGATCAAACATTTTTGAATTTTAAAGTTCGGAAAATCGAAAATTTGATCATTTTCAAAAAAGTCAGAAAAAATCGAATTCTCAAAAAAAGAAAATCGAATACTCAACATTTTGGAAATTTCACGAAATTCGAAATTAGAAATTTAGAAAGTTGGAAATCCAGAAACTTAGGGATTCATGAATTCGATTTACTGAATTCGAATACCATAAAACCTGTATTAGAAGGGCCGACCCTTCTATTTTTCCAAGGTGCTCCCGGAGGACCCTTCAATTAGAGGGGGCCCTTCAATTTTTCCAGCTATTTTTCTTGAAATTTTTCATCGAACCAATCGACGGATTTCCGTTCAAAATTCATGAAAATCTGTCAACTCCGAAATTGAGCAAATTATTTATCAAAAGAAATAGTTTTTCCAACAAATTTCTATTAAATTGTGAAATTCTTTGAATATTTTTTACTGAAATCGTACGGAAATTGTTGATTTCATGGTAAATTATGGAGAGGTCCTTCTTGACAGGGGTCCTATTGCGGGGGCTCTTCTATTGCGGGGGCCCTTCTATTACAGGGGGCCCTTCTATTTTTCAAGACCCTTCTCAGAGGGCCCTTCTATTAGAGGGGCCCTTCTAGGACAGGTTTTACGGTACTTAACCCATATTTTTATAACTGTTAAATTCTGAAATTTCTGCTTTTCCAAAGCTTAAGGTTTGAGAATTTCTGAAGTTACAAAATATTTTGCTCTTTCAAATTCAGAAATTCGGAAATTCGAAAACACTCATATTTTGGAATTCGAAGACCGGATTTTAGAAAAAACGAAACTGTTTAAAACACAATTTTTTTTATAAATTCATAATCTCAACGATTTATATTCTGCTAAATTCGTAAACTCGGAGAAAAGGTTCAAATTCAAAGCCTAGAAAATTCGAAGAATCCTGAAAGCACATTTTCTTCATCATTCTCATTTTTCCAGCTATTCCAGTCCTTTCCCTTCAAACTTCAAAACCCATACTGAAAACTATTTTCCCAAACTTTTCCTCTTTTTCAATGCTAACGTGGATGAGAAAAATACTGGGCGGTTAGACGGAAATGACGTGAAAATTACTTCAATAGTCTTATGAAGTACTGGTATTGGAAAAAAAGAAAAACGTCTCCAGAAGACGTCAGAGACAAAATTTCGAAAATAGAAAAGGTCGGGGATAAACTAATAAAAATTTCCGATCCATCCATCCAAATTCCAGTTCAAACGGGTAAGTTTGAGTGGGTGAAACGCCATGCGACATACATCATCACAGACAGAATTTGGTGTTTGTTATTAGTAATGAAAGATTTTATTTATTATAGAAATTCGCAATCCTACGAATAAAAATTCTTGAAAATTAATTAAAATCGATTTTACTGTTTCGAATTGTCGAGTTAAATAGGTAATTGAAACATATATCATTTTTTGGTGTTGTCAAAACAATTAATAATTTCAGAATTTCAGAATCCGATCAATTTCAAAATTTCAGCATTCCAGAATCTCAGAATTTCAGTTTTCCAAGAAAAATATTTTTTCGCTGTTTCACCCACAAAATTTTGACCCAAAGATTTTTGATTCACCAATACACGAAATTTATTTTGTAGAAGTAAGAAAAAACCAAGATGCCAGAATCGGATTAAATTCCCAACTCTGAATAGACATTTTGATTTCGAGAAATTCCAATTTCTATGGGGGTCGGATTAATGGATCAGGCTGACCGAAAACTTTTCCCCTCTTATTTCAAACTCCATATTTTTTATGCTTTCATACTTTTATGACATAGAATTTTCTAGAAAAAGTCTCGTATTCACTAATTAGAATCTTCTGCTTCATTTACGGTTTCTGTTTTTATGAAAGAAAACGAAAAATTTCATTATTATCACTCTTTTTTTTTCATTCGAAAAGTTTTTGTGGCGCAGAAAAAAAAGACCGAAAAATGAATACCGAATCTTATCGTCTCGTGAAACTCGCAATCCAAGTGATATCTGTAATTGCTTCCCTATTAATTAACTCCCTCTTAATCACCCTCATTATCACAAAGTCTCCAAAAAATATGGGAAATTACCGCCATCTTATGGTTTATTTTTGCTGTTGTTCCATGATTTTTGGAATTTTGGATGTGATTGTGCAGCCGGTAATTTTAATTTGTGTAATTAAGTAATTAATAGGGATTTTCCAGAATATCCTAACCTACAAAAGTGCATTTTTCATGGTTGTGGATATGAAAAGAAGGAATTTTGCGCCTTGGTTTGGGAAATTTGCAGTTTGTAAGTTTTTGAAATTTTCAACTTAATTAATCAAATTTTGAATTTTTAGATGCGTTATGTGGAAGTTTTGGAATAGCAATTTATGGAATTGCAATTCATTTTGTTTATCGATCTTTTGCTTTGGAGAGGTAGGAGGTTCTAAACTTCTGAGATTCTGAGATTCTGAAAATCCAAGAATCTGAAACTTTAGGATTCTGAAATTCTGAGATTTTAATGTTGATTTTTTCAGACAAGGCCGAATTCGATACTTTAAAGGCGCATTTCTCATTTTTTGGTTTTCGATTCCTCTGGTGGGCGGAGCCGCGTGGTTCCTAGTGACCGCCTACGTTTTTCCAAAGACCAAAATGGAAACAGAGTATATAAGGTGAGCTTTTTGCTATTTTTTGGCCGCGGCTGGCCTTGGCTGCCCCATTGTTCGTAGCCTTGTATTTGAATTGGCCTTTAATTGAAGTTTTTTTTCAAAAAAAAAATATTTCGGTTTCAAATTAGAAATTCACAAAACTACATGATTGATCTTTCATCGTTGGAATCCTGACTTTAAAAATCGATTTTCCATAGATCAATAGTAAACGAAACGTTCAACATGGATATTGACAATTGTGCTTACAATGCAGGCGTATTTTTCCCTCTTGATGAAAATGGAAAACAAGTAATTGGATGGTGGTCGTTTGCCGGATTTGCTGGATATTTAACAATTATGATTATTCCATTTTCCATTATTTTGAGTTTTGGATTCAAAAGTTGGAGAATAGTTGGAGGGTTATTGGAACAAGGAGATTCAGAATTTGCTAAGAATTTGCAGTTGCAACTTTATAAGGCATTGGTGGCACAGGTAGAGTTCAGAATTTCAGAAAAAAGTTTGAATTTCCAAATTCTGGAATTCTGGGATTCCAGACATCTGGAATTCCCAGAGTTCAAGATAGTACGAACTCGAAGTATCATATTATACTTTAACAATTAGTTTCTAATCAAAATCAATCAAAACATCATAAATCATAAAATTTCATATCACTATTCTCTAACGGTAAAATTTTTTTAGAATTTTAGAATTTCTGAATTTTGGATTTTCAGAATCTTGAAATTTAAGAATCTCAGAATTTAAGAATTTGAGAATCTTATGACCCCAGAAACTCAGAATCTCAGAATCTTTCAGAGTCTTGGGTTTTCAGAATCTTGGATTTTTGGAATTTTGGATTTTTAGAATCCGAATCTCAATTCCAGAATTTCGGAATTTCACAATTTCGGACTCTCAGAATCGCAGAATTCTGTATTTTCTGAATCTCAGATTTTCAGAACCCTAGGATCCTAGAATTTTAGGATCCCAGAATTTTGGGCTCCTAGAGCTCCAGAATCACTAAACTTGAAAATCTCAGAATCTTTTTAGAATAAATTAAACTCGTGCAAAATCAAAGTCATAATTTCCAATAATAAATATCCCTAAACATAAAAATGTTTCACTCTCACAATCAGAATTTTAAGAATCTCTGGACCTCAGAATCTCAAAAATCCTCCAAATTTTCAGACAATTATCCCTGTCATCCTCCTGTTCATCCCATTTGGACTCCTATTCACTCTTCCGATTTTTGAAATCGATTGCCAATTTTTGGCGGCTTTGATTTTTGCAATTTATCCAGCTGTTGATCCATTGCCAATACTATATTTTGTGGATTATTATAGAATTCCTGTAATTGGCAAGTATCCGTTAAAATCTGCTTGAAGATCACAAAAAAATAGCTCAAAAAAGGTTAGCTCAGCGGTCTCCATGACTTGACCCCTAGTTTCCATTTCTCCGGTAGACACTTTCTATAATTAGAGTAATTAACTAATTAAGATGCCTAATTAACTTTTCAGACTTCTTCAAAACCACCAAATGTCGAGCGAATCGAGTTGGAATGGATAGTATTGGATCTACAGTTATTGAGTGATGAAAATTTTATGGTCTGTAATAATTTGTTAAAACTCCAATTTAAAATAAAGACTTTGTGAAACTGTGATTTTTTTTTAATTCGTCACTTCTTGTCAAACTAGACATAAAATCGTTGACCTAATGAATTGTATGAATGAGACTTTTTTTTTGGTTCACTGAATTTATTTGTGTCTGAGCAGAAGTCATATGAATCAGGCTGAAGAATAATGGACTCGAAAAAAATGTATGTTTCTCAAAGTTGATAAAAACCACTTTATGGGACACATCAGAATTTGTGTACTATTTTTAGATGTAGTCCTAAATCCTTGCCAAGACCACGGCCCTGTTTTTGACCACAACTGCAAACCAAGCAAGCATATGATAGAATAGGTCCCCAAATTGCACCAAAAATATTATTTAAAAAATTTTCTACGAACCTGAAGCAGAAACAAAATTGAGAAAAAACTACAATGCAATCTTAAAGGTATAGGCACCTTTCATCCGCGTAGTTCAGTTGGTAGCTATATGGTACCCTGATGATTCGTTTCATATATCCCTTCACCTTATCACTAGCCTTATCAATTCAAGCATGAAAAATTTCTGGCTTGAAAAAATATATTGAGTCACACATCATCAGCCAAACAAAATTTACTGATCTTCAGCATGGGTGAATCTTGTAAACTTCATATTTTTATTGAATTATATTTCGGAATTTTTCAATCTTATTTACTTTTTAAATCTCTGATTTTGTATACACATCTACAGTATTCTATAGATTCCACTGTAAAGCAACTAGCTTCGTACTACTGTATGTTTTGTGAATTCTCTGAATCGGTAAATTTAATTACTTTTTTTTCGTCTAACTTCCGTTGTCTTCTTCCTGTTATTCGTTTTTTCTTATTTATTTTTTTCTAGAAATGTCCTACTGTGAAACCAAACATCTATTTTAATGCTTACATAGTATTACTGTTATAGGAATAACATTTAATAAAAAACAATTTTAAGTTCAATGTTCCATTTTAGTGAAAGTTACATTTTCAACCAAACTTCAAATGCAAATCGAAACATTCGCCAATGTCAAAACCACCATTCAAATTTGTTCCGTGATTTTATCAGCATTTGTGAATACCGTATCCATCTACCTGATTATCACTGAATCCCCAAAAATTATGGGTACCTATCGCCATTTGATGACCTATTTTTGTTGTTGCTCACTTTTGTTTTCTTTGATCGATGCGGTCGTTCAACCGGTGAGCAAGTAACAGCTACTCGCCGCGATTTGCGCTCATTTGGCGCAACTGGTAACCACCCCGGCTACGAAACTGACTACCCGGGTTCAAATCCACTAGATGCTATTTTTTCTTCGCTTTTTGTGTAGTACTTGGGGCAACAATTTTTTTCTTGCTAGCCCGATTTTAAAGCGGGTTTTTCAGAAGTGTGAAAATTAAAATTCCAGAACATTCAAACCTACAAAAGTGCGTTTTTCATGGTTGTCGATGTTAAAAGTCGGCACTTAACTCCTTCTGTGGCTGAATTCTTCATAGGTTTGCAAATGTGCTCTACTAAAAACAAATTATCACAATTTCAGACCTCCTATGTGGATTCATAGCAGTTACGGTGTATGGAATAGCCATTCATTTTATTTATAGGTTTTTGGCATTGGAAAGGTAATAACTTTTCATGCTGTTACAAGAATTTGGTAAAATTTTGAGAAAATAAAATTTTATGCTTTCGCTCAGGGGTGGGCGAGGATGGGAGAAAAACCTTGACGTTTTGCAAAATTTTCTTTCTTGTTGTGCAATTCGCGATTAAAGGAACATGCAATTATGCCGATGGGTCTCGACACGAAAGCAAATTTTCTTTAATGTGCGCCCGATGCTCCGCCCACTTTTTTCGCGAAATGCGTGTGTTTTGCAATCTGTTTCCCGCGAAAGCCGATTGCTCGCCCAGCCCTGCTTTCGCTGTACGGTTTCAAAATTTTTAGATGATTGGGAAAAGTCCTTAGTTGAATAACTTTTTTTGCTGTTGCAAGAATTTGGTAAAATGAGAAAAGTTGTTCCAAATTTGATAAAGAAAGAATACTCAGATGAACTTTCGAACTTTTTTTCCAGACAAGGCCGTCTTCGATATTTCAATCATCAATTTTTGCTTGTCTGGCTCAGTATTCCATTGATTGCCGGTACCATATGGTTCATAGTGACTGGGACCGTTTTTTCCATGGATCCAATAACAACGGAATATATACGGTTTGGATTTTTTTTTAATCATTGAGAAAAACGGAGAAGCTATCGATTCTATAGGATACTGCAACTAGAAAAAAACATTAGTTGAAACTGAAAAATTTTGAATCGAAGAAAAATTTCAAGTCTTGGCATTCCAAGTAAAAAAATTGAGTTTAGGGAAAATACCTATTAAAATACTTTTTAGAAGTGATTTTTACAGGTTTTGAGCTAATTTAGAGTTTCCTCAATTTTTAGTACCAAGAATTAGAAAATACTAATTGTCAAGAATGTTATTGTGTATATGATAAATCATTGAAGCAGTGAAAACTTGAATTTTCTTTTGATTTTTTTTCGAAATTTTTGCCAGAAGAAATTTTGGGCATACTGTATTCATTTTAGCCTCCCCTATACTACATAGTACTTCGAGCTTAATTATCTCGGTTCCTATGAGAAATATGAAAGTTTTTAAAACTAATAAAATGTTGATGCGAACAATAGAGATCTGATAATTCTCTGATACTTAGGCTCTAGCTGACACAGTGAAACAACGAAAAAAAAAACGTTTTTGATTCTGAAATTCTGAAAATCCGAGTTTTGGAATTCTGGAATTCTGAGATTCTTTGAGGAGATTTTAGATGGATACAGTATTTCATAATAAAATACAGCTTACTGCAAACTTGAAAATTAGTGTTATAGTAACAGTGAATTTTGAACAAAAAATCGCAATTTTCAAAATTCAAAAGCCACATTACTCAATTTTCACACATTATCTCTACACTGAATTTGGGAATGGAAGATGTTGTTTATGAAAAATTACAAATCACCGTTCAGAAACAGAAAATTTTGACAACAAAAAACAATTTTCTGTAGTGTGCGACTACACAATAATCATAACTCAACTTTCACACATTATCTCTACACTGAAACATTAACATTTTTTTCCAGAAGCACCGTAAAAGAATTCTTCAATTTGGATATGGAAGATGTTGTCTATGGAGCTGCTGCATTTTTTCCTCTAGACCAAAATGGACAAAAATTCACCAGTTATCTGGCATTTTTCGGTTTATCCTGTTATCTAACCCTCCTAACAATTCCATTCCTCACAATGCTTATTTGTGGGTTAAAAAGCTGGAAAAAAGTTCGATGTCTTCTAGATCATGGAGAATCGGAATTCGCTAGAAACCTTCAGATGCAATTGTACAAAGCACTCATTGCTCAGGTTGGATAGAATTTATAAATTCTTCAAAAAATACAAAATATTCCAGACAGTCCTCCCTGTAGTATTCTTTTACATCCCGTTTGGATTCATATTCATCCTCCCAATTTTCGAAATTGATTGCCAATTTATGGCTGCACCTGTCACTTTGGTTTTTGCCATCTATCCAGCTCTAGATCCTTTACCAACCTTGTTTTTCGTCGATTACTATAGAAATGCGATTTGGGGTAATTTTGGCGCCAAAAACTTGAATTGTTTGAATTTTTCAGAAGTTTTCCAATGCAAAAAAGCGAGAATTGAAGGGACAGTGGATGAATCAGTTTCAAGGGTCTGTCAGACTACTGTATAATTTATAATAACCCTACTGCATTGAAAGAAATAAAATATATGAGCATATGAGGACTAGAAGGAACAGGAAAAAATTTTGAAAAAAAGAAGTGATATTTTTCGTAGTTTGTAGTATGCGTCAATAAAATTGTATTCCTGAATTGTTATTCATATTTTTGTTCCATCTACCTGATTATCACTAAATCCCCAAAAATTATGGGTACCTATCGCCACTTGATGACCTATTTTTGCTGTTGCTCACTTTTGTTTTCTTTGATCGATGCGGTCGTTCAACCGGTGAGCAAGTAACAGCTACCACCGCGGCGGCAAGCTTCGCGCTCTTTTGGCGCAAAAGGCAACAACCTTGTACGCAAAACTGACTACCCGGGTTCGACTCCCGAGTGGGCATTTTTTCTTTTGCTTTTTGTGTAGTGCTTGGGACAACAATGATTTTCTCGTTAGCTTAATTTTGAAGTGGTGTTCTTCTAATTCCAGAACATTCAAACCTACAAAAGTGCGTTTTTCATGGTGGTCGATGTAAAAGACAGGCATCTGACACCTTGGGTAGCTGAGTTGTCTATCAGTAAGTAATAATTGCAAATTCGCTGTATTGAGAATAGCAAATTTTAGGGATGTTGTGTGGATGTATTGGAGTGACCACATATGGAATGGCGATTCATTTTGTTTATCGATTTTTCGCATTGGAGAGGTTACTGAAACATATATTTTTGCAGTTTCCATAGCTTGTCAAATAGTTTTATTATAATTTGTTTTAAATTTTCAATGGGTAATCGAAATGCCGTTGTTTCAGAGAAGGCCGTCTTCGATTTTTCAATCAGAAGTTTTTATTTTTATGGTTCAGTATTCCATTGTTTGGAGGCGTCCTTTGGTTTCTGGTGACGGAATTTACATTTCCAATGAACAAGGAGACAACAGAGTATATAAGGTTAGAAAAATTGCGTATTCCGGCTAACAAAAACTCCGTTTTATTATGATGGGAGGGTATTAAGGATAATACATTGTAGTTGAAACATCAAAATTTTGTTTCAAAAAAGTACAAGGATAAATACTTAAATAGGCTCCGCCCATCTCCACTTTAAAGGCACATATAATAGTTGCTTTAGGGCTCACATAAACTAGAGAAACTTGAACAACTTAATCTGGAAAACCAGCAAAGTTAGAAGAAAAATAAAAAATAGCGATTAAAATTTTTTTGGGTATAACTCGAAAAGTTTTCAGAACTTCTCAATGAAACTCAGATTATTCAGTTTCAATGTCAAGAGCTTCAAAATGAGTATAAACACGACTAGGCTCCGCCCACCGCAGAGCTACGCGGTTGACGCCGCTACTGTCCTGCGACCGTGTACCTTTGCTTCGCTGGAAAATAAAAATGGGCGGAGTCGTGCTTGGGCTCATTTTAAATCTCTTGACATCAAAAACTCAAAAATCGGTAAATCACTTTAATAATCATAACTCAACTTTCACACATTATCTCTACACTGAAACATTAACATTTTTTTCTAGAAGCACCGTAAAAGAATTCTTCAATTTGGATATGGAAGATGTTGTCTATGGAGCTGCTGCATTTTTTCCTCTAGACCAAAATGGACAAAAGTTTACAAGTTATCTAGCTTTTTTCGGTTTATCTTGTTATCTAACCCTCCTAACAATTCCATTCCTCACAATGCTTATTTGTGGATTAAAAAGCTGGAAAAAAGTTCGATGTCTTCTAGATCATGGAGAATCGGAGTTCGCTAGAAACCTTCAGATGCAATTGTACAAAGCGCTAATTGCTCAGGTAATTAAGGCATTTGGGAACCTCTTCAAAAAATACAAACAGTTCCAGACAGTCCTCCCTGTAGTCTTCTTTTATATCCCATTTGGATTTATCTTTATTTTTCCGATTTTCGAAATTAATTGCCAATTTATAGCCGCACCGATCACTTTGGTTTTTGCCATGTACTCGGCGATTGATGCTTTGCCAACCCTATTTTTCGTTGATTACTACAGAAAAGCAATCATAGGTTTGAAGGGAGTTTGGGTTACTGTACCTACTAATTTCAGGTGTGTTGGATTGGTTTCGGTGTAAGGATGCGAAGGTTCAAGGGGTGTCAGATGAGTATGTGACTCGGGCGTGTCAGGCTGCGACTTAATGTTTGGAAACTATTGAAAAACTGTAAAAATACGATAATGATCCATTTTTCAAATTTCGCTGAACCATTAAAACTAAATATGAATCTGAAAATGAAATGAACTAAATGAAACAGTACAAATTATAAAAAATAAATCATTTACAATGAAGTTAATTAACCCGACGAATACGGTATAAAAAATACAAAAACAAATTCTTCAGTTGGTTTTTGGCCATTCTCAGCCTGGAGCTCGGCTATCAAGTTTCCAATCACTTTGGAAAGTTTGGAGGGTGTAAAACAGACCTAGATTGAGAACTTGACATTCACAAAATTTTAAAAAAATTCCTAGTTTTTCAGCTACCTGTTGACTTCTAGAAGACACGCTTTTTTTGACTTTATGAAAGCGCGCTAGAAATTTGACTGCTCCCCAGTTAGCAGCCGCGTACGCAGACACGCAACGCGTCCAAAATGGGCGCCAAATTCAAAATCGAGGTTCTTCTCCGGGAATTCAAATCAACATTGGATAATATTTTGTGAAAATTGAAATCTTAAAATTGAAACATTGATTTTTTTTCATTTTTTTTTCAAATTTCCCAATTAAATAAATTGCCTAAATCGATAAATTCTGGCTAGCTGAGCTAGCAGCCAGCGCTTACAAATGAATGGATTACGATAAAAATTATAAAAGTGTAAAGATCGATCTTTAAAGGTGGGGGGACAGGAGATTTTTCGTAGTTTTTTTGTAGCTAGAGTATGCATTCTACCGTCACGGTGTACAACGCTTAATGTCACTCTGAGTACAGCTGTCGTCCTCGCCTTTATGTATGCAAACGGGCGTGCGCTTTATCTTTGGCCGCGTGGCTCAGTCGTTAGCGGCGCCGCACCCTCAATCATCGCCCTCACAAGTACAACTCCTCGAGAGGCATCTTTGAACGGAATTTCAAGAACAGTATTTTTTTCATGTCCCCCCACCTTTAAAGGGGGACTCCGGTCAATTTTTTATTGCATCAAAATGTGTTAAAATTTATCTATTTTCAGAATATTATTGCGAAAAAATTCGGAAAAATCCAAAATTCCCAAAAAACGCAGTTGAAAAGGAAAAAAAAATCAAAAAAAGGTGCCGCCGAGGGACGAGGATTTTCAGTGAGAAACCTAGGCCACGCGAGTGGCGCGACT